AGTGAAGGCGGTGGTTCGGCTAAACGCCATGTGTACGCTGTTTTGGAGTTCGAGCACGCAATCTTCAGTACGTTGGACGCAATCTACATAACTTCACGACTCGATAACGATATCAACCTGAAACAGTGTCGTCTGGGGTTTCACGGCCGCATCCTGTTGGCCTTCAAGAATCAAACCTACGATCAACAAGACTTACGGAGTTTGAAGGTTTTCAAATTGAAGCACAAGCAGGGAACAGTCGATCGAATGATCGACGATCGTACGGTCATTGTCAAAGGCTTGTTCAAGAAAGAAACGAACCTGGACTGTTTTCTTCGTTGTAACGTTACGTTGTCTACCGGAGAAGTAGGCGAAATCACTGGCAGCTTCGGACAGAGCGGCAAAGTGAAGGTATTCGTACCTTCTGGCCTTCTTCATTCTACTGTCGAAATCTTACGCGGGCATTCCGAGTCAAAGATGATACCAAGAGCAGCCAAGGCGGTGACAATCGACAGCTCTAGCAAAACGACCGCAGTTGTCACCGTAGCTTTAACTTTTAAACGCTACCTTCATGATTCTTCGAAGAAGGTGATTCAGTGATGACTCATATTTCCAGTAACTAATTATGTGTGTCGATTTATGACGTTTTTGTTTGTGTGTATTTGTGTTGTTCATTAAAACGTTTGTTATTGTCTTTGGTTTTTTTCTGTTTTTTCAGTTTCGAAGCTGACGATATTCTTTTCTGGTTTACTATCGCATATATTTAGTTACTTTGTTTTTTAAGGTGATTCGTAATCGATGAATAAGCTCTCAGCAACCTTATTTCGAAAGGTATATCACTTTCCTGTGTTGTCTGCCGCACTGTTTACAAATCAGTCCACCAGCTATCGTCGTTGTCCCTTCGTTTATTCCTTGTCCAATCAGTCAGTGGTGATGACTGCTGCAGCTTTTTCAACTGCTGGATATCATACAAGTTGCGTCATGCACAAAAGTAAAGGCAGGAAAATGCAGGTAAGAGTAACTTTAATTTTTGTTGATTGTTTTTAACGATTCATCAATCAGATTGACTCGACAATTTAGTGAATCGACTACCTGAGTGACTGAAGCGCCATTCAGACCGTTCTCCTCCATTGGTCGGCGCTAGATTTCTACTGTCACTATAGTTAATAGTACGACTGGTGAAAATAGATATCGGTTCGTGGCATGCTTGAAGAACTGCTAATGATCCGCGCTTACCTATCCATGGTTCAAGGCAATAATTGAAAAGGACAGCGTGATTGTAGTAGTATATACTACTGATGCTTTTCGACGCCGTACACCAGTCTTATCATAAGAGTTATGATACAATAAATGAAATAGCATGTATTATGAAAAGAGTAAAATTTCGAGCGAAAATAATGTTTGCCTCATTTAATTCCTTCGGACAAGCTGGCCGATGACATTCTAGCTGTCACTCAAAATATACGACCTCCCACGTTTGTTACAAAGTCGTCCTTTGTTAGCCAAAACCTATAGCGATTCTTTAATATTTCACTCGACATTCGTCAGACTAAGGGAGTGTCAAAGGTAGAAAGCTTAGGAACGATGCCATTGTGTTCTGCTTTCTCTTTCATCAGAACCCTTGTAGTTTCACAACATCTTTGCACGGTCTTCTTATGCTTTTCCAAATTAGATCATGTCACGCTCTTTGCACTTGATCTTATAAACCATGTTAATCTCTTTCGTTCCCCTTCTGTGGACTTAGCTGCCGATATATCTGTGATCTCAATGAACCGCCCTTTCTGTAGTGGGATCGAAAAACGTTTTCCAGATATTGTTTGATCTTCTTAACGAGTTTAGGAATAAGAGCCAGAACAACGTAAGAAACCTTGCAGATGTAAAATTTTTCCGTGATAGGCGGAATCTATTTGGAGACAAAGTCAACCCTAACTGGCCTAGTCTCCAGTTATTTAAAATATGATGCGCAAGACTTTTGGCGAAAGTATCTGTTAGAATGTTCAAATTTTCGTTACACTGCGAACTCATAAGGTAACTTGCCTTTGACCCAATATTTCCTAACCAGTACGTTCAAAAATCTGATTTAACGTTTATGTTTTTCCATGGTATAGTTGATCCTTATGAACATAGCAAACGTTGTCATGAAATTTTAAATATGTGCGCAGGGTCAAGGAAAACATTAACTTTCAACCCTGCGATAATGTCATTCACAAGCCATAAACAGGCTATTTTTGCAACATGGATATCCCAAGATGATCCATTTATAGGTCTACGAGGATTGCCAAAACCTCAGATCCCTCAGAAATGTCATACTTTGTATGAAATTCGGTAAGCAGCTTTTCCGCTGAAAATTTGTTGAGAATCCTTATTCCGTTGCTCAAATGCTCCTTAGCGCGTATTCTTATTATACACTAAAAAGAATGTCATCCATTAGGCATCCTTTATGAAAGTTGTCAGTCAGTGTAGTTACGTTGAAAGACGTCAACTGATATTCACCTGACGCAGCTTTCCGACAGAGCTCTCCGCATCTTTTGCACATTGTGACCGGTTTGACACGATATCTTGTTTGCTGCGTAAGTTACAATTTCTTTAGATACGAAGCGAAGTATCTGGTTTATGTAATCTAACTTTTTCATACTGGTCAGGGCTACGCTACGATATGAATCCACAGTAAGCAGAACCTCTCCAGTTTCTGTTCTGAAAAAATGTGCTAAACAAGTGATGTAATTGGTCTCTCCTGATCTTTATTGGTTAAGCGTTCTTCTTCCTTCTAATGTAGTATACTTCAGCTTCAAGCTGCACCTTCATCTTCTTAATATACACGGATTTTTTTGTGTAGAGTTTTTCTGTAACTGTTGTACAAGTTTATCTCTGCTAAAACTAAATTTTGTTATTTAAGTTTTTTCAGCTTTGTTAGTACGTCAAGGTGCAGAGCTGGTAGGTTCCAGTGGCATCATCTAAATACTAGTATCAGTAGTGTTATAACTACCGGTGGAATCACTTCACTGCCACTAGTTGTGAAGTTCGTTTTCATACTGCTCTTTGTGGCATTTGCCACCGGTAATTGTGCTCGTATTGATAATTGTAGTACCGGTACCACTATCACATGTTGGCGGATTTGTTGGAGGTATGCTCACGGGCATATTTCCCGTAATAGAGAATTAGTGCTATTTTTACGTGACTGGTAAAGCATTCAGAGTATCAACCGCTTAAACATCGTAGCTTAAAGGTACTGCTCTAGCCAGCGAAGCGTGTATGAGATGAATCGATATCCAGTGCTTAAATTCAATGAAATAGTGACATGCGTAATGGATGCGTAGACGAGGAGCAAGAAGACAGAACTGTGATGTAGTATAAGCCGGCTTTGTGGAATTATACTTAGTTCGACATTAGATGTGTGGTTTGTGCAACTGAATGCTGGTAAATGTAATGATTACTATTCTGCCACTTGTGGTATTTTTGCGTAGTTCTGGCGTTGCTATTCGTCAATTTATTACAGTGACGTTTTAACCTTGAATAAGAGCGATACTGTTTCAAGTATTTTGACCAGTACCAGTACTACAATTGCCAGTTCGCTGTCGCTATAGTAGTAGTAGTACTGTTTCATCTACTTGTCGAAAACGGCGGTCATACCACCACTGTGTAGCCGCAGTAGAATTAGTTTATTATAGTCGTACTGATGTCTTAGTATCACGATTGTTCTTCGAAATCGTATTACTACCGCTCTATCGTTAGTAACGTAGTTAAAAATGGCAAATGGCAGTACTGCTGCTAAGAATGATAGAAGTAATTTATTAGCAGTAGTCTTATCTTTACTAATACATACAGAAACCGTAGTAGAATTATACTGATTCTTGGTACTAGTTGTCTGACGGTTTTGAGTAGTCGTCACACTGCTGTCTCTACTACTAGTAGTATTAACGTAATTGCTTGCGACACACTAGAAAGAGTAGTACTATTGCTAATTGCACAAGTATGACCAGTACTGGTAGTGATGCAACTGCTTGGACAATAGTAATAGTATTTCTGAGGTTTATAGCACTGTTTCTGCCATTCCTCCTAATTACTGCATTAATTTCACAAGTCTTCGTATGGCCAGGATAACGATAATAATGCTGTCACTTGCTGTATACTTAGTTTAAAAGCGTTTTAACTGAAATGGGTTTTTAAACTGACGTCGGTGAACTTTCAGAAGTACTGAAAACGTCATATTGATTAAATCAGCGTAACATTCAGTAACAGATGATGAATCTACTTTGTTAACCGTCGTAGATAGGGATAGGCATTGCGCTATGTCTGGAAGTGAGATTTTGTAATGGTACCTGAAATACAATGTCGGACTCCCAGGAGCTCAGAAGATCAAATCTGAATGCTCGCAGTTTATCTGGGCATTTTCCATGGAAGCTGGGAAACTTTCAGTTTACTTGGGAGTGCCAGTTAAGACTCACATAGAGTTTATGACTATGGAAACCAGGATGTTTACTGTCTACTGTCGTAACTCACAAGTGTGGTTTCGACTTCTGTTAATTTCTACGTTTCTACTAGTTTACGTAGGATCGTGGCTTGTTAGTCCTCTTGTTTAAATTTACGGCTGACTTGCATGTCTTTACAAGCCAGCGCCTATGAATATAGAGATTATTTGATAAAAAATGTCCAGTGCTCCTCAATGTCGATCATCTTTTAAGGGAGAAGACGAGGACATGGGTGATGATGATGAAGAACTTGAAGACGAAGACGATATTTCTGAATCTACGGGTGAGGAAGACGCGGAATTCGAAGGTGCGCGAAAAATCAACATTTTGGTCAGCTCTCCACGTCTGGATTCCATTGTCAAATCAGCATTTAAGTTGCATCGGAGGTAATTTGCTGTAGTTTGTCATATTCTGCACCCCACTAACTACCTTTGAAATACTGGAAGTCAATTTTGTCATTTTTTGTGTCACCATTAAGTTGTTTTTTTCTTATCATCTTCTAGCTATTGTTCCATTTTCGCTCAAGGTTAAAAAAGAATATCAATCTGCGAGAAGGAAACTGGATACAACATACCACGATTGTCGTGTAGCTGTGGACTCTGCCTTTAAACTAAGAAAATGGAAATAAAGTTTGTTGCGGTTGGAATGTCGATATTTCTGTCGCTTTCATGACAGAACCATTTTTAGCGTTCTTTTTTTTTGATGTCAGAGGTAGGACGCTGATGTGCATTTCCATGCTAACAACCAGGAGCGTACTGCTGGAGTTTACTTTTAAATGCAAAGTCGACAGCAGCTGTGTCTTGACGACAGTATGTAGTCTCCTGTTTTCTTCTCACAGAGTATTACTCATTTATCGGCACCAGAAGAAGGAAAGGCGAGTGAACCCGGAACCTTTTGGTTCTGA